AAATTTTTTAAGGATGTGGGTTATTCTAGTTTAAGGGAAATGCGAAAATTAGCTCAGGATAGGGAAGAGTGGAGGTACGTGTCTTAGGACTGACGACCCTATGATGATGATGATAAGTAATAATTTGCAGACTTTTCTTTAAATTACAAGAGTGAATGTGTTCATTACAAATGTATTTAAATGACCTGTTTGTTTGTCCTACATATAAATTTGTCGATTGTCCTTTTATTGTTTGTATAGAATAGTATAAGCCTAGAGACTTAATTTCTTATATATTAGGCGAGCAATACGAATTTTTTAAAATTCAACACCTAAAGGTATGAAAAGGGAGTTGAAAGTTTGATGTATTGATCAAGGCACAGCCCAAACCGCTGAGTCAGGAAAATTAAAATATCAGACAAAGGTTCTTTATACAATAGTATAATCAACTATAAAATGAATTTTCAGAATATCATCCCTAAAGATGTAAAATCAGAGTTTGTCATTTAATCAAATACCTGCCACACGTACGAAATCGCGATAACATTGTTATTGTATACTTGAAACCAATATTGATGAATTATTATCATTCTTTATTCTTTCAAAGGAATTCACCATTCAAATGAATATTTATTAGTACACAAATGGCTCTAGTTACACCTAAATAAAATTATTATTATTAAAAATTTAAACTGTCATGAAATGTATTAAACAATTTAAATATTGTATGCGAACACCTATCTAACTGACATTATGGTTTATGTTATTTGAGTATGCACAATGCACTATCTGAAACACAAAGGTAAAACTTTAATGAAGCGCATACCTTATAATAAGACATCATATAATTTAAAACTCGGTATCGTATGTCATAGCTACCTGCCGTAAAATTGACTGTATCAATTCTAAAAGAAAATACGAAAAATGAAAGATACTTAAGCCTTTGGGGGTGTTATTTAGATGTAATAGGGAATGCCATGGTAAGTAAAGCAGTGTGGTTAAGGGACAAAAAAAATTGTAAGAAAACCAGACAAAGTTGCAATCCGAAGCCGGCCCTGGGCGTGATTTGACAATCTACTGAGAAATTACGATACGATTACTTATTTTAAAAACATCCTGTATAGTTACGCATCACGTTCATACTATATGGCACATTCCTCTGAAATACACAACGTTCCATAAAAAAATGTCTCAAAAAGGATTCCGCGGGATAACAAAAGTTGAACAACACTGGGTTATAGATCACAGCATACTCGGTTGGATTCAGGAGCCATCTGCCCCGTTCCAAGTTTTTTTTTTTATTTGCTTGGATTATTTAAGCCAATGCCGATCTTTCTTTTCTCATTTTCCTTTATTTGGTTTTTTTTTATCCAACTGTACTTCGCTTACTTTCTGTAGCGACGTGACCTTCAGTTGGACCGGCGCAAAGTAAAAAAGAACAGCACTACGCCAAAAAAGGAAGGAGACAACTCTCGGCCAAACTCATAACCGGTGAGGAGCGTATAATCAATACAGTACTGCACGGAAAAATTGACCGTTTTATCCACTACAATTGCGTTGCTCAAATGTACTGTTATTGGACCATTTACTAATCAACGAGATGGTTATTTATATTAGAAGACATATTAAATCCTTTAAAGCTTGTTTTCGACTCGCACTATTATTCATGATTGAACAAAACTTTTGGCTACTGTATGAAAAAGTATGTTTAATGAACAAGAGTCGAGAGTAATGAGCTTTTTTTTCCTACCTACGATTTTGTCAGCGCACATCCAAGACATTGGAAGGGGCACATTGCTAGAGAATGTATAGTAACAATACATTCCCATGATTCCCAAACAGAAGCTATGAAGGTCCTTCCGTACAAGCATTCGTGCGAGAAGGACCTGTTTTAGCGAATATACGATATATCGCGAACAAATCAAAGAAGAATTGAATGAAATCTTGTAATAATTGTCTGCCTTTTTCGTTGTAATGAAATTCAGAAATAGCAATAACAGCAATCGTAACAGTTGCAATATGCAATCTTTCCATTATCTCTTACTAATGCTTATTTAACATATTCAGGATGTCATTATTTAAAACTGAAAGAACCATAAATTTACAAAGCGAGCATGACAGAGACCGCAATTCTGCTAATCGATTACGTTAACAACAAAGATCAAATGCAAAATCTAACCAACGCAACGGTTGATTTAGTTGCAGTTAATACGGTATTTGTAAACCATATTAATTCAGTTGTTTATAGGAAAACATAAAAAGGCACTCGAACGATTTTAATATCTCACCAGCTCGTACTTACATGTGTTACGTAATTTAAATTACAAATTGGACTATCTCGTATAATGTTACAAGGACCCTTAACAGCTTTATATGGAGTCAGGACTACGCACACAACTATTTTTTTTTTAATAAATCAGGTCACGTACAGGTATAAATCACCTACGTGCACCAAGGATTCCTTACAGTAGAAGTGTACATATAATGATAAACCTCGAAAAAAGTATCGAAAAGGGCAATCCACCCTATTATGCTGCAGCTTTGCTCTATAGTGTAGGTCGGGATGGATATAATTAGAGTATTTTTGATATTTCCATTCTTTCCTTGACAATTAAAAATATACGTACAGCTTATGACATCGAAGGGAAATGACAAACACGTCATACTAAACTGGCGTCATACCAAGCATAGTCTTAGAAAATAAACTACTTTCTATTTTGGTTAGTTGTTTAGTTTAATAGAAAGGAAAACTACAAATTGTACATATTTATTAACAGAAAAAGAACGATGAATTGTAATATCAATAAACAAGAGGGTCAGAAAAATGAACGAAAATATTATTAATCATTTGGATCACTATAGCCAGATATGTTTTCTCAGAATCAGTCATAATAAAAGATATGTCATTTTAAACGGAGTCATTGTATCCAAAGTTTCCTATAGAGAATTTAATACGAAAACCAAACTTAACACTGCAATTACTTCATATTAAGCGGTTGGTCAATATAGGCGGAGTCATAATAAACGAATTCCACTATATTCCGATTTCTTAGGGTCAATTACAAACTACGAAGACAAGGAACAATAAATACAAAAAGCTGTTAGTTTATCAGCATGTTTTCTTATCTGGTGTGCGAAACTCCACATTCGCCAAACAACACACATCCCAGGTATATATATATAGTGTAAACTCTTTATAACGTCACTCGATTTAACGACAAACTCCTTAAAACGTCGAAATTGCTTGACTGGTTGGTTTACATTGTTTTCTATACAATATTACACTCTATATAGCGTCACACTCACTCTATTTAACGACAACAATGCAGCATTATAAGTCATTAAGCAGTACTTTCTAAGTTGCCGAAATAGATAAGAACTGCAGCTGTGTACGTTGTTGAAGAAGACGATCCTGTCCCTCCACCAAGCATCAAACAAGCACTTGATGCAGCGAAACTATTAAAAAAATACTTTTTATATAATCAAATTGATCCAGCAGTATCTCAAGATATGAGTAAGATACGTAACAAAATACAATTAAAATATTGGAGCAGCAAAAAGCATCAGACGAAGATAACAGACTATACGCAATGTATGAATAATAATGTTCGTGTGCAAAAGGTGTACTATATTGGTAAATGCATATTTTTATAGAATAGTAAAATAATATCTTTTATTTCTCTCCATTTAACGACCACTCTTTATAACGCCGAAAAATGTTCAGTCCCTTAAATGTCGTTATATAGAGTTTACATTGTATATATATAAGTAAAGTGCATATTTATTCACAACAAAGTTATATTTCTTGTTTCTAAAAGGCACTATAATTTGCCGCCAATCTGTTATGGTAGAAACCAATAAGTTATTTGGATTTAAAATCGCTCATTTATTCTGTAACCGCTTGTAACTGTGCATGGGTTTAAATTAGGTACACCGAAAACTTCATTTACTCACTTTTTTGGCAAAGAGAGTATAAAAGAAAGCAGTTTTGTCCAAATTCAAAGTCGAAAGATGCTGACAACAGCTTTTTGGGCATCTACAACGCCAACACATATTCTTTTGTCAAAATGTTTACCTAGTGATTGGAGCAATATCAGAAAATCTCCGCTTTTAGACATATCTGTTATCAGGTATATTTCGAAAATACAATTACGAACGAAGTTTCAAGAATACAAAAAACAAGTAGTAGAACTTGGCCTGTCTCATTGTATCTGTGTACATATACGTATAATATTGTAATGTTCGTGGGTTTAGAAAATTAAATTTCTAAGACGAAAACTATTTATTTACACTAATTATTATTGAACTTAAAAACACTATTAAATTATTACTAAACTTAAGTAATTATTCTATTTATTTACACTACTGTTACTATTCACTGTTCTATTTATTTTACTTCTACCACTGTCAATTTATCTCTTGATTCACTTCTGCAACGGTCAATTTATTTCTACTCTACTTCGGCGATCGTCTCTTCCTTTTTATACTCCCTTGCCTCCTTTCGGGAACATTCTCCAGCCGTCCAGAGAAGTCTCGTTTTCTTTGAACGGTTTAATTGCTTTCCCGGAACGCAGGTACGACACACACGTTTACAGATACGGCGCACATGAAGAAAAGCGCCCGCGGCTAGTCGGCGAATCGATAAGCCGCTCACACGCACGTATGCCCGATCGCACACAATCCCGCTCGTGATCGCTACAATATTATTGACGAACTTTCTATTCTTTGGTAGGCACCTATACATTCCAGTTGTACATTATAGACACCCGTAAAGTGCTATTTTAATTTATGCATACTCACATTAATTACGAAGGAACCTCTTAAAATTTGAATAATTGGCCCATTAGAACGTCATTTCTTTCGCATATTTTAGCCATTTTTTCTGTACACTATTTCTCTCATCGACAGGCATTTCGAAATGTCGAAACAGCTTTATTAAATCGAGATTATGCATTCTTTAAGTCTACATTTCAAGTTTGTTCAGTGGGTATTTAATTAATAACTGTGGTTTATTTTTCCAGGGCACCATGCAGGAACCGAATATGAAGACATTTAGGTCGTTTGTAGCACAATGCGAGAAGAAGAGCTTGAACTAGCTCTAAAGGTGAGAATAAAAATGATTTTTTATAAAATAATTCGAAGTGGTCTGTAGTAGCGTCTGGCAGTTTCGACAGAATACAGACCACTTCGAATTATTTTATTCGATTATGGTAACGTGCCTACCACGTTGAGGTTGGATACGCCGGGATTCGTTTTCAGCAAGTAGATATCCACACAAGTGGACCTTGTTGGAGCATACGTAATCCTAAAATGTAGCATCGTGCTACAGATGGCCATTACTTGACATCTCAACCCCCTCTATTAGTCGAAATAATCAGTGAGTCCCTGCAAGCTATTTTGGTACATATTTTCCCTCTATAACTCGAAAAATTAAATTGTAGTCGAAGAAAACTTTTATTTATTTCACCTCTCTAACTCAAAATTAATAAGACTAAATCTTAACCTCTACAAGTCGAATCAAAATCCGCGTATGTCAAAATTCGAAACTGTCGATGAAGATTCTAGCTTGCAAGGACAATTTACAGTACTGGTAGTGCAATAGAACCTCTTTAAGTCGAAAACCTCCAACACTCGAAAAAATGTTTTCTTCTATTCCCTTCAAGCCCCAAAACCTCCATTACTTGACATCTCAACCCTCTATAACTCGAAAAATTAAATTGGATCTCTGTATCTTGAACATGGCAATGTTTCTTTTATAACCTTTGCAACTCGATAATTTGAAACTTTCTACGTCTATAGTCGAAGAAAACTTTTATTTATTTCACCTCTCTAACTCAAAATTAATAAGACTAAATCTTAACCCTTACAAGTCGAATCAAAATCCGCGTCTGTCAAAATTCGAAACTGTCGATGAAGATTCTAGCTTGCAAGGACAATTTACAGCATTGGTAGTACAGTAGGTTCTCGATAAGTTGGAAATTTCCAAAACTCGAAAAAATATTTTGTTTCTTCCCTTCAAGCCCCAAAACCTCTATTACTCAAAATCTCAACCCTCCATTAGTCGGAATAATCAGTGAGTCCCTGCAAGCTATTTTGGTACATATTTTCCCTCTGTGTCTCGAACATGCGCAATGTTTTATTTTACAACCTTTACAACTCGATAATTTGACTTTCATTATCTTTTTACGTCTATAGTCGAAAAAAACTTCTATTTATTTCACCTCTTTAACTCAAAATTAGTAAGAATAAATCTTAACCTCCACAAATCGAATCAAAATCCGCCTATATCAAAATTCTCCATAGCTCGAAAACTCTATAACTCGAATTTTTTGGCGTCTCTCTTGATGTTCAGGTTTTATAGGTTCTACTGTATTTGTTGCTAACAATAGTAATATTTCAATGATGTAAGAAATCAAGCTACGTATGGGGCAAAGGTTTATTATTTATATGACACCAACACCCTACGTTTCGCCTTAATTCTAAGGCATCTTCAGGGCTAAAAGGACAATTGTTAAACACGTAATTAAGACGTAGCAAAGATACTTACTTAGGTTTCTAAGCTTTTAGCCCTGAAGATGCCTCATAATTAAAGCGAAACGTAAATTGTTAGTCTCATATAAATAAAAAAACCTTTACCCAATAGGTAACTCGATTACGTACTTTATACAATTAATTGGGAAGAAATGCCAACAAAATTTAGTAGTATTTCAATTATTAGCACTAAATTTCACTAGATGGCGATATATGTTCTACAGTCTGAGATTCCAGCTTGCGTTTATACTTAAAATTTAAATCATATTCATTTACTTTTTTCACAATTTTAAATTTAATTCATTCAAATACTTATATAGGTTTTTTAAGCCTAAGTACCTAATACATGCTAGAAACTGTGATGGCGTATATTTTTCCAGCAAGCGGACATTAAGAAGGAATAGTTTTATCCAGGATGGCGGTCAAATAATTAAACAAGTTTATGTTTTCTGTAACGTTTCGTTTTATCTAACCATCTTCAGTCTTTTGAAGTGTTACTGCTTGTACACAGATATTAACTTAATTTTAAACATTCTTTCATGTTGAATTACTGCATGCTGATCTGTAGTTTACATGGAAGAAAGTTTAAAATTAAGTTAATATCGGTGTACAGGCAGTAACATTTCAAAAGCCTGAAGATGGTTGAATAAACCGAAACGTTACAAAAGGACAAAGTTGTTTAATTATTTGACCGCCATCCTGCAAAAAACTATAAGTATAATTTTTAATGTAAAGGTCAGGAATCTAACTTAAATTAAAAAGAAGAAGTCTTACTAAATCCTTTAATATCCCTTTTTTTAACAGCACTTTGAAATTATTTATTAAATTATTCCACTTTCTAGTTTAAGGATATTGCCACTTAGTACATGTTCCGTGTCATATCTACATAATCTGTAAAAAGACCTTTCCCGTAAAACACATATTAAAAAAAAATTGTTCAACATACAATTGATGTTATTTTAATCAAAGTATTGAAAAATTCTTAGTCCAGATTAAAGTGCTACAAGGATCTACAATTTAATTTTATTCTTACTAGACCATATCTGCATCTAGTGATTAAAATGATGATGCAGTTAGCTAATGGCTTTTAATATGCAATTATATAAATTAATGCATGTAATATGTAATGACTGTAATCGCCATAAAAAACGAACAGCATTTAAGAGATTTACGTTCCTTCGGTTATTTGTTGCAATTAACGACAGTCGTTATTGTAATAACTTTTTAACGACTACATTAGTTTGAAAGTAATGTTGCCAGTGAAAAAACCCAAATCCTTTATTTCATATTTTTATTTCCTAGGTGGTGATAGTTGGTAATGGTGGTGTTGGCAAGTCTAGCATGATCCAAAGATACTGCAAAGGTATTTTCACCAAGGATTATAAGAAAACTATAGGGGTCGATTTCCTAGAGAGACAGATAGAGTAAGTGAAATGTAATTACTTATAATTGCTGAACTACAAACTGTGATTCATACTGAGTAAAAACTAAATCTCTTTTCTTAGTTGAGACTTCAAACGCTAACCTAACCTAACCTAACCTACCCAACCTCACCCGGTCAAACTTGCGCCATGCCGTACTTTCCCTTCCTTAACAAACCAATCTAACATGATCAAACATACTACAATGCAACCAAGTCAATCCAGCGCAATCTATGCTAACCTAACCTAACCTAACCTAACCTCACCCGGTCAAACTTGCGCCATGCCACCTTGCCGTACCTTCCCTTCCTTAACAAACCAATCTAACATGATCAAACATAATACAATCCAACCCAAGTCAATCCAGCGCTATCTATGCTAACCTAACCTAACCTAACCTAACCTAACCTAACCTAACCTAACTTAACCTAACTTAACCTAACCCTGTCAAACTTGTGCCATGCCACCTTGCCGTACTTTCCCTTCAAGTTAATGCGTTTAAAAGTTATTCCAAATTGATATTAGTTTTGTTAATCAGTGGCATCCCCCCCCTATTCATTTCCGCAATAATCAAAATTGGCTATTTTGAAGGACAAATTATTATTGGAGTGATATTTTAAACCTTGCTATTAAGATTTTGAAAATTGAAATATTATTCTCACAATCCATATCGTAAATACCGTCATTCAATCATTGATAATTACCAATTATTGTTAATTAGAGTTAATTCTGCGTTCGGTACGTACAGGTACCCATTCTTAGAATTAAAGTCATATTAAAACCAATAAGGATTCGTTATGTGTCTGAAAATACTTATTATGTCTGAAATAATGAATGACCAGCGGCGTTCGAGTGACGGTGTCATAATTATATAGGAATCGCCTGTTTTGTCCTGCAAGGTAGTATAAGTGCCTGTCAACATCAGAAGAACCGTTGAAATGGCTTCGCTGTTTGTTTAATTTTGTTTTTTTTTATTTAAACATTTGAACATATGGTCCACTCAAAATTTGAACGTCAGCAAATAAGAAACAAAAGCAGATTACGTATACGTTTCTAGAGGAGAATATTAAGGAAAAAAAAACTCGAAATAGGATAGTTAATTAACTAAAAATTCGTACCTAAGGCAAATATGGAAGTTATTTTTGAGACTATGTATATTAGTAGTTTCTTCAAACTTAAGATTAGACTTTCGTGGAATGTCCAAATCGAATTAAGGAGAAAAGCCTGACAATTATTTAATTGGTTATACGACCCTCAATGAAGTTAACCCACCTGCAAGCACACACATTGGTTGATTTTTGAATGAGTCTTTGAAATTGGTTTGAGACGCTGCTGTGAGTGGTATTTAATAGTAAACTGACTATAGTTAGCCAAAAGACTAGCCACTAACCACACGTTCATATGACATGTATAGTAAATCAATAAATCCATTCATCAATATCTATTTCCAGTAAAGGTCCAGATGATGGCCACCAACCCCGAAGGGGGTGGGGATGGGGGGGATCGAAATAGGAGGTCTCCCCCACCACTGTACCATAAAAAGTTCGTGGCGGTCTCATCCCCATAAAAAGTTATAGGGGTTCAAAGTTAATAAATATGCCAATTTTTATACATTTCTAGGCATNTCGAATACAGTTAAGTACCTGTTTTGTGTAAAATCCTCGCGATATCGTGAATAGCATCTTAGCGTTAACGTAGTAGACAATTATGGTAAAAAGAAAGACAACAAAGTTGGTTGATTTATTAGGTTCCGTTATAAAACAGCGTACACTGTTCCGGGCATCTTACCTAAAAATCCTGGAATGGCTCCCAGAGGCATCACAAAAAGACTGACAAGAAGATCGGCAATGGCGAGCGACAGTAGAAAGTAATTAGTAACATTCTGTAACCGTCTGTCCAAAAGTACGGCCAAACAAACCAGGATATTTCCCAGTCCTCCGGCAATAATGAACACCACGACAAACAGAAAGCTCCAATCGTATTGCTGCTGATGATTTTGAGAATTGTAGTAAAATTTCAACTGATTGGAAATATTTGCGTTCAGACCGGCGAGTATGTACCGAAATGCACCCTCGTCCGAAGATACACAACTCCAGTTGGTGTCGTTCACAAAATCCGAAACGTTAAATAGCGTGTCGCACTCAAAACTGTACCACACGGAAGCGTTCGCGAGACACTTGGTGCACGACAGGGCACTGTTGCTCAATTTGCTAACATCACAGTATAGACTCATAGTTGACGATGCACAACCGATGAAGAAATCGGTGGCGTTTTTTCCGAAGGAGCACTGGGTCGTGGTGCTGGGGATGGCGGCGATGTTGGTGAACATTATATCGGGAATGCTGTCCGAAACCCCGATCCGGGCACATGTCAGGAGATTGTCGTTTACCACAGAGTCAGAGTCCCGTGGTAACGACCAGTTCATTTTGCAAATTACTTCACATGTTACTGATGCACATTGCAAATTAAAAAACGCGATTTTCTCTCATGATTATTTTATATGCCTACACTGTAAAGCGAAAGAAATATTTCAATGACGTCTTAGAAATTTATCAAGACATCAAAAGGATCGCTTTTCGTGAAACAAGTTCTCATTTCCGGAAAAGCGGACCTTTCAATAGTTTGACCAAATTCTGAGGCTCAATGTAGTTTTTAATAAGCTGATGATGATGATACTGGCCGCGAAAGCCTTTACCAATTTGAATTTTTTTAATGATCCAAAATTGATAAAAATATAAACAAATGTTAAAACAATCAACTTTCAACCCCCATAACTTTTTATGGGGGTGAGACCGCCGCAAATTTTTTATGGGGTTTTACTCAGGTGACCACCCTCTTTCGATTTCCCTACCCCACTCCGATCTAACCCCCATAATCGAACAAAATAATTCGAAGTGGTCTGATCTTGGATCTCATCAGCGCGTCGCAGGCAGCTCCGACAGAACAGAGACCAACCTTTACCTGCTGTCTTAACAGCGCGTTTTAGAAAATACAACAAGGTCCATTTAAAAATATGGATACCTACTTGCTGAAACGAATCCCGAAACGAATTGAGGTGAGCTACGCCGGGATTCGTTTCAGCAAGTAGATATCCATATTTTTAAATGGACCTTGTTGGAGCATACGTAATCCTAAAATGTAGCATCGTACTACAGATGGCCCTCACCACGCCATTTGTTGTATTTTCTAACCCCCATAACTTTTACTTTCGATCCCACCGCCATCATCGAGACATTTACCCTATTTCCTTCCGGAAAGGAAGCCTAACGTTGAAGTGTAAATATTTTCAAATTGTACGGAACGGATATAGAATGGAGACGGAACGTATAGTGGGAACCGACCTTTACGATCAACTATAATAACAGCGTATTGGCTGGGATCGCGCCGTATATATGCATCCCTTGCACACTGTGACCCACTGACTAAAGTCCAGACTGACATACGCCGAAAATTCGTATCGTGCTTAAGGGCGTTTAATAAAATTACGTTTAGTATTAGCCCGCTTCGTTTTCATATGCGTAAGTGGTAGGTCCCGTTCGATTGTAAAATTAACCGGTCGAACCTGTGGACCGCTGAGATGACAGTCGTAGATTAATATCGACCCATCAATGTCAGCTGTATAATTATTACCATTGATCTGTTCACTTGTAAGATCTAATAAGAAATAAAGAAGAAAAAAAATAAAGTGCTCAAGCGTGTGCCTTTGAATGAGTTTGGCAAGATCGCTGCACCGTTTCTAATAACAGTTGAATCTAACTGTCTTGCTCGATTTCCTTCCAAATCGTTTTATTGGTTGCTTGCGTATCAGTTTGATACGTACATAGGACGAGGAATTCGCTTCCGCGTGCTTTTCACTACGGACGACTTTCATTAATAAACTACCAATTACCTAACAACGAACTGTTGATTAAAATTACTTTTACTGCTTTCTGTAGAGAATTATACTTTAATTTCTCGTCGTCTGTCAATTTACATTCTGTAATGAGAAACAAATTGGGCAGTTACAAATGTCACTAGTTTGATTTCTTAATAACAAATTTAATAGTATTTCGTGGTTTTCGCTAACAGTGATGATAAAATATACGATACGACGTGCATACAGGTAACAGACAAAACATTCACCATATATAGAAATTACATATTTCTTTGTCGAAATTGTTTCTTTTTATGTCACATGAGCGAAAATGCATAATTTGGAGAACTTGTGGAATAAACAATTTTCATCCAGGTCTGTACGAAAATAAAATAAAAGTATAAAGCAAAAATATTGTATAAAAGGGAGGCAAAAGCAGCGAAAGAGTTAATATAAAAATAGGAGACGAAGAATTAGAAGAATTCGCTAATTTCCGATATCTAGGAAGCCAGATAATTCAGGGTCATGGAAGCAATGATAGAGATATCTCCCAGTTTAGACTACTCCATACAAACTTTACCACCGCTTTTTATACCCTTGGAGATAGAACTTCTTAAATTAGCGATTTACAAAGCATGATTTCTTGTCTTGCATAGCATTTCTGGCTTTTGTTGACTTGGGGAATCTCCAAGTCTATTATATCTAAATTGGTGGAAGAAGGAGTTTAATTGTACACGCGCATCATACGTTATTTTGCTATTTACACTAAGCATTAAATCATATACAGTAAAAGTTTTTTATTCGCAGGGTATACGTTCCATAAATATGCCGCGAATACAGAAACCGCGGATATGGAATGGTAATTAGTATGGAATCAGAAGGAATACATTGTAAGATTTCAAAATAAAACCAATATGTATCAAAATAAAATCAATTTATTGACAAATTCGCAATTAAAATTAATCGTAATAATCAGCTTTGGGCAAGAGTTTAAAAAAATTTGTTTTTTTGTTTTGAATTTTGAAGTTAGTCCACTCTGTTACATCTTTTATAAAAGTCACCTCGGCATGAGCCAATAGTACTTAAAAGATGCTGATAGGTAGAAAAATAACACCGAATCCTCACTACTCGGTTAGATTGTAGTACACGC